TTGGGATGTTCTGAGAGCGGGAGTCGCATGGACAGCATGGGGTGGTGCTACCTTGGGTCGACAGTATGGTGTTTGGTTCGGTACGGATTCGGGGGTTGTTACGGAATGGTTACGTGCTACGGTTTCCAACGCGCTTCAGGTTCGGTATGGGTCTGGTGACAGTTGTTTCACTACGGTAACTTATTTTCAGGTTTGGGACAGCTGCGGTGATTTATTCTCTGGATCGGGGCCGCTACGACAGTTACAACTCGCCTCCCGTCTGACACTCTCAGTAACCGAAACCTGATCATACCCTCTTGCCCCTCACTCAGCCTTTTGACCGTCTCTTTTCAACGGCGCATGCGTGCTAATCTCATGAACTCTGGATCACTCACTGGCCCATCGGGTGCGCGTATTCCTTTACAGGTCACATTGAGTTCGCCGACTCACTCGTCAACCAGGCCGTYTGTAATCTGCTCCGCAGGTTAGATTGGGCGGCGTACGCCAGAAACGCCCGCTCACCACACTGTCCTCGGGGCTGACTCCATTCAGATCGCCTGAGATGCGGCCTGGATACGCCCGGCGYGCTCCTTCRAAAAYGTTCCCCCCCTTTCTCTCACTCACACACTCACATGAATACRCACCATAGGTACCTCCTCCGTGTTGGTCGAAGCAGGCAGAGAGTTCTCATGTCGGCCATGACCGCCTCGAGAGCAGCCACGGGATGCCATAGTCCAGCTCACGCTATCACTGCACACACCTCGCCACGTCCATCCCTTCCTTCAATCGGATCATGTGCTAGCGCGCTGCGCTCGCCTGGCCCGCAGTCCCATCGCCCCTGTCAACAAGATGTCCGCCGTACACCCCTCGCACGGGCGGAGTAACCATCGGAGTGTCGATTCTCCCCGTGCTTGCTCTCATTGCTTGCTCGTCTCCAGTCAGCTTCCGGGATGCTGGGTACGCCTGGCTCGCGCTTAGTTTTCCTCCCCTCTGGTTTCTCCACCGCCCCCGCTATATCCACGTAGAGTCAGCCTCCTCCGTGACTGAGTCTTTAGGCCCCGACTAGGCAATAAACAGGCCCGGGGCAGTAGACCCAGTACTTCGTCTGTGGTGGTGGCAAGGGCCCTTACACCAGTGGTCATTTCGAGATAGGGCCAGCACCAGCCCTATCTGAAGGCTCGATGGCCGCTGCAAGCCAGAAACAACACAGCAGCGTGCATCATACCTTTCCCAAACCAGGGAATTACCAGTCTGAACCGTGGCCGTCCGTTCCATACCATCACCGAACCTGGAAACAACACAGTGGCATGCACCTTACAGTTCCCGAACCAGGGAATTACCAGTCTAAGCTGTAGCAGGCTGTGTTGTCACCGTACAGCACATTGTATCGTTACCGCACTAATGCAAAGCCTGAAGTAATCGCTTGGAGATGCTGTAACCCATATGGTGCCGATGCCGATCCAAGAACGTGCCTGAAAACGATGCAGTGGTGTGTACCACGCCAATGCCGAACCAATACCGTACCTGAAACATGTCGAACACGGCAAGACGCAGCGGCGCGACAAAAGTACCAATCCTGAAGAAAACCGCCGCAATGATCCCGGACCTGAACTTGAAATAAATCTCTTTAAGGGCGTCGAACCTGAAACGAAACACCGCGATGCCACCGAACCTGACCGGACCCGAAATCTAGTACCGCTGCTGCGCCACGCGGATGCCGAACCCGTACAACCATGCCATGATAATTTCGTACCTATCCCAAACCTGATATAGAATGCCGCAACGTTTCCGGACCTGAAAACAAACTGCCGCCAGGGTTCCAAACCTGGGCAAATCAACTTACTGTTTGCTGATCTGACGATCGTTTCCGCTGCTAGCGAGCCAATCATCTCGCTTTAAGCTGAGCTGATGAGCGTTTTCACTCCTAGTGGGCCAATCATCTCCCCTTTTGTAGAACTGGCAAGCCTTCTCGCTGACGACGGAGCCAATAATTTTGCTCACGCTGAGCAGTCAAACGAGCGACTTCTGCTGATCAGCAGAYCACGGGTAACACTGATYAACTTTCGCAGATCAAGCCAATCAGGGGCGATGGTGAACGGAGRCTTGGTCACGGCAGTGGGGGAGATTCATGCAGATGAGATGAGGGAGACTAACGAGTGTGTGTGGTGATCCCCGTCCATTTCTGGTTCTCTGGATGGGGTTCGGAGAGATGATTCATAATTAAGGCAGTGGTAGGAGAGCGTGCTAGGCGCGGCCCGGACGGTTACACATCAGAGGCGGCACGGCCCCCGCGCTTTCASATGCGGTATCATAATCGGTGTCCACGTAAGGCTGACTTAGCCTGAAGGGAAGGTGGAAAATCATAGTCTGAGTGTTGGGCGATGATCCGCCCCCTAAAGCAGTCCTAATCGCTGATCAGTCCCCTTTATCCGGCTGTTTCA